GCAACCAATCCATGTCTCTCTCTCACATTGATGTTTCTCACTCCCCACCCCTTCTTCCTTCCCTCCCACTCTCTCTGAAAAAGCAATGGAAAAAACAAAGGACTAAAAAACAAACACCTCAATCATATTTCTGTATGTTGGCAACAATAAATCCAAAACAAAATTAATACAATTCCATTCATTATAGCATCAGAAGGAATAAAATACTTAGAAATAAATTTAATAAAAATAATTCAGGACTTTTACACTGGAAAGTACAAAACCCTGCTGAGAAATCTAAGTAAAAAGAGAAACAGTCTCTGTTCATGAACTGGAACAACACTATAGATCAAATGGGCCTAACACACACACAAACAGAACAGAACATTCTCAAGTGCACACAGAATATTCTCCAGGACAGATCACGTTAGGTCGCAAAATAAGTCTTAACGCATTTAAGATTTAAATCATACCAAGTATCTTTTTTAACCACAATGGAATGAAACTTGAAATCAATAACAGAAAGGAAACTAGAAAATTTACAAATATGGGGAAATTAAACAACACACTGTTGAACAACACATGGGTCAAAGAAGAAATCAAAAAGGGAAATTAGAAAATATCATGAGACAAACAAAAACACAACATATCAAAACTTATGGGATGCAGTACTAAGAGCGAAGTTTATAATAAAAAACTATAATTTTTTTGAAATACCATCTATGGTAACATACATACAAACTCAAAAAGAATTGCCAGAGAAATTCTGAGAATTAACAAGTGAGTTTAACAAGTGAGTGGTAAGAGTAATTTTATCCAAAATTAGCTGGCCATGCAGAAAAGCAGTTGGTTTCCTATGAACCTCCATAAAACTGGACTCAACCAAATGTGAAAGGAAACCAATTCTGGCCAGTCACAAAGCTTGCACTTGAGCTCCTTCCCATCATGCCAGCAGAAGGACTGGTACTTCCCCACCCATGAAAGCTCACATGGAGATTCCTGCTGCTGGCATGCTATGTCAAAAAGCTGTGAGGTTTGGATCCCAGGCCCATTATGCCAAGGAAGAGTTGCTTCCCCCCAAAATTAGCATGCACTGCAGCTGGGAGAAATCTGAAGTAAAACTATGGGTCAAATATCTTTACTTTCATATACGTTTTAGAATTTTCCCTTTACCATCCTGGATGTTTAAGACAATTTAAGCTTTGCAGTAATTTACTATGCAAAAATAAATCGTAAGTGAATTATTACAAACTTACATGTACAAGTTATAAGCAAATTACTACAAATCTACCATGATTAAGAAAATGAATTATTTCAAACATTCCAGAAGCTTCCACATGCCATCTTCCAAACACTATCATGATGCTTCCCTAAAGATAAATACTATCTTTACTTTTAATACTATAGATTAGTTGTGTCTGTTAAGTCTGACATTAACTTAAATAGAACTACACAAAATGTATTTGTTTGTGGACTTCTTAGTAAGACTCATCTACGTAGTTGCATTTAACAGTAATTTGTTCCTTTCCGTTGTATACCACTGACTGTATGATTTGTTTTTTAATCCTGGCATTGAAGGACACTTAAGACTGCTTCCATTTCAGGGCTATTAAGAAGAACAGTACTAAAGATATCCTTGTCTGTCTTCTGGCACACAAATGCATGCATTTCTGTTTGGTATTTAAAAGAATTGAGATTCTGATTGGGGGTTCATAGGATCCACAAAGCAAAATAAGATGTGACATCCTTATGGTATTGAATATTCCAACCTAAGAACATGATATATCCCTCCATTTATTCAGGTCATACTTTATATAAGATTTTAAAATTTGCTGTGTAGAGATGTACACGATTTTTGTAGATTTATTCCTAAGGATTTTATTTTGATAATAGTAGCATCTTTCCAAAATTTTATCTTATTGACCAGTTGCTGGGATATAGAAATAAAATTGATTTTGCATAGTGAGCTATCCAATAAACTTGGTAAATTCATGCATCAATTTTAATAGACAATGTATAGATTACTTTTCATTTTCTATATACCCAATCATGTTGTCTGCAAAGAGTTTTATATCTTTCAAATCATTAGGCTTTTTTTTCTTTTATTTTTTTAAACATGTTTTTATTGATTTCAGAGAGAGGAAGGGAGAGGGAGAGAGAAAGATAGAAACATCATTGATGAGAGTCATTGATTGGCTGCCTCCTGCACACCCCCTGCTGGGGATGGAGCCCGAACCGGGTATTTGTTGATTGGGAATCCAACCTCGATCTCCTGGATCCTAGGTCGATGCTCAACCGCTGAGCCATGCTGGCCAGGCAATACTTTCTTCATATCCTTATTCTGTGAACTTTTTTTCTATTTTTACTTTGTTCATTTTTTGACTTTTTAAACTTTTTCATTAAAAACTAAGATACAAACACACACATTAGCCTAGGCCTACACAGGGTCAGGATCATCAATATCACTGTCTTCCACCTCCGCATCTTGCCCCACTGGAAGGTCTTCAGGGGCTAAATAATGCACATGGAACTGTCATCTATGATAATGTCTTCTTCTGGAATGCCTCATGAAGGACGCTGAAGCTCTTCTTGAGGAGGTATCACTCGTCAGAAATATGTCCATGATGGTTTGCTTGGTTTCTTTTTTTTTCATTATACATTTGCTTGTAAGCAGATAATGCACCATGAACATTCCTCCCTATTAATGAAAACCTTTTGTTGTTTTCAAACTTTTTAAGGAGCTTGAGGTCTGCAAATGCTTCTGCTAAACCCTTCACTGTGCATTTTCTTGGGGCTATTTTTTCCTGCAGTTTCCTTTCCTCTTTTACTCCTTTTTCAGCTACGTGTTCCTGTTCCAGTTCCAATGACTCCTCACTCATTAATTCCTCGGGAACCACTTCTAGGAGCTCCTCAATGTCATCCTCACCCACAGCCAGGTTAAAGATGTTTGCTGCCTCACCCACAGCCCTACTGATTTCTGCAACTTTCTTTTGTTTTTTTTGTTTTTGCTTTGGCCATGGTTATCACGATGCTGAGCGGCGTACACTTCTATGTCTCGTCTTTAATCCAGGTCATTAGAAGTTTCTCCGTGTCTGACAGAGTCCCTTCTCAAATTTTTGTTATGCTCACTGCCCTCAATAAAGCAGATCATTTAACAGCTTCCGGCACTGTTCCTGTTCTTCAAGATCGTTAGGGTGGAATGGGGCAAGCCTGACTGGTGAGCAGTGACCATTGCTGATTTTCTACCTTCATAGCCCTTAATCACTTTCCATTTCATTTCCAGGTCAACCACTCAATGTGACCTCTTACTGGCAACATTAATGAAGGATTCTGTATGCTTAGGGGCCATGATGAACAAAACAACATGAGCCTAAATCAAGCACAAGAGAAAATAATGCAATCAAGAGACCCAGTAAACATGAGCTGCTGCCTGCATAACACAACATACTGTTTTGCAGCAAATTTTTCTCTTTACAAGTAGAAAGAGTATCTCTAAAAATAACAATATAAAGTATTGTAAATACATGAACTAGGAACGTAGGTGTTTAATATCATTATCAAGTATTAGGCACTGTACATAATTGTACGTGCTATACTTTTACACAACTGGCAGTGTAGTAGGTTTACATCAGCATCACCACAAATGTGAGGAGTATGTTGTGCTAACATGTTATGACAGCTATGACCTTATGACAGCTACAGTGTCATTAGGCAATAAGAATTTTTCAGCTCCATTATAATCTCATGGGACCACCATCATATCTATGGTCCATCATTGTGCAAAACACCATATGTGGTGCATGACTACAGAAACTGTGAATGATACGAGGCAAAGACTCCAGAACGTATGACGCTTCTCTACCAAGCAGTTAACCTGGCTGGGATCAAACTCCAAACTTGACCTCCTCCATGGTGAGTTGCAGCTGCATTCTCCACTCAGTTCTTTCAGCTTACCGTTACTACTGTTTGCCACGTTTCCTAGAGTCTTCCCCATACGTGCACAGTTCAGACGCCAGCCAAGGATTTTTGTAGTTTAAAACTGATTTTGAGGCTCACATATTTGTGGCTCCCTCCTTTCCAGGATTTCCACCCTAAGTTTCCATCACTCTTCCAATCTCCAACTGTGTTTTGACCCCTCTGTGCAATAAATACTCCGCCTTTCTGTGATCCCACCTAGGAATTGGGAGCTGCCCTCAGGAGACTCGCCAGAAATACCCAAATCTCATCCAGTACAGCTTCTGTCTTTCAGGCATCAACTTCCCTCCAGTTTTGCCTTCTTTTCACGACTCACCAGTACTTTAAAATAGTTGTGGGTTTTCTTGTTTGGGGGAGGTATAGTTTTATACTGATGATATAATCATTATTTGCAGGGGGGCTAATATGACCAAGCTACTCCACCACTAGAGGAAGTGCAACTGAATATTTTTGGATATTCCATTTTATCTTCTCTGTTAATATTTACATTATGCCTTTTAGGCTTGTTCAGTGGTTACTCAAGAAGTCACAGTATTTATCCTTATATTATCAGTCTACCATCAAACCATACAATGCTGCTTCATGAACAATATAAGAACCTTGCATATGTAATTCTATCTTTCTCCCTCCTACCCTTTAAGTAAATAGATAATTTAAATAAATCATTAAATGCAGTGCTTCTACAGTCTCTTTTATAAAAGTAAAAGGGATAAACAAGATTCTTAATGTCGCTTCCAGTTTTCACATTTAATTATTGTATACCTTAAGATCTATAAATATTTTTTGTTTAGAGTCAATATGTTATTGTATTATTAGCAATCATAATCTATTAAGTACACATACCAGAGCATATATTAGGTTAAAAAAACAGACAAAAAAAACAAAACGTTGTGTTACTTGGAATCCTGTGACTTTTTTTACATTCAAAAAACATGAACTCTATCTGCAAAGTCAGCCCTGCCCAAAAAATATTCAAAAAGAAATAAATTCTGAGGCATATTTACCAACAAAGGAAAAATTACTTAAGCTTAAATGAAGACACTTACCCCTCTTCATTTTCTTTTAGTAAACGACTGGCGATTCGGATCAGCATGCAGTAAGCAAACTGTGACTTCAGACCGGATTTAGTAAATTTGTTTAACATCTTAGAAACAGCAAGGCGATCATTCTTTTTAAGGTGATACAGGACTCCCAACGCATGGTACTAAAGAGCAAGAAAAGGAACGTAACATGCGGAAAATCAAGTAGGCAGAGGATGAAACTTACATGAAAGTAGAGTCACATGGAGCCGAATTTTTAATAAAACATACCCAGGTAGAAAGTACACAAACAGAATAGCTTTTTCACACTGAATCACCCACAGGCAAGACTGAAAGGATAAGCGGTTCTAATTGACCCCCAGAAGGTGTAGATTTGGAGTGGGCAAACATTAAGAAGGTGGCATATAGCCTGAAGGTACACCTGGCAGGTAGGGATTGCCCCACACAGCCTCAGTACAAAGGTCTCAGGTCCAAGGCTTTACCAGTGTGGCAGGCCTCCGAGTGGCTTTAAATCATCTGTGGCAGAGCCAAGAACTAAAGGATCCGCCTCCTGAGGAAGGCTTAAGGAATGCGAGTGTATCATCATGGCACTTTGTGTAAAAGCACAATGATCAGAATTAGGAGGGTGAGGGTCTTTCCCATGGGGAAAACGACTACTGTCTTCTTCACAGCTGAATACGCTTACACGAGAAGTTATCAGCACTGGGAGGGGATAAATAAGGACCCTCTCAAATACAAACGGGGTACTTGACATAAAATTGCCAGCTAAGAATTTAATCTTGTTCCTTTTATTTAGGAATGGCCTAATGACTATCAAAAGGAGACCTTTCCAACAAAATGGTTTTACAGTTTCGCAAAGTAAAAATTACTCTACACTGTTTTTATAATGCCTACTTGGAATTTAACATCCTTCTTCACAAATTACTTTTCAAATAAAGGACTGAAATGTACTGTGAAAGACCTTTTGAATGAGCATCTCAAAGTGCCACTGAATATAAGCAGCTTTCTCCAACATTCTTACAGCTTTGACTGAACACTGGCAGGGCAGTAATCATAATGAGTGGGATACCTACTTGAGGATATGCACTAACACGCTGTTTAATACTAGCCTTCGGCTAATACTCACTGGGGGAATCAATAAATTGCCCCTACCATGACAGGTTAAAGAAAGTTGATCTTGGGACAGAAGCTGAAACATTCAATGACAGTACCTGGACCATAATATTGTCACTTGAAGCAGCTTCTTGGGCTTCATTGACCCAGCGCTTAACAACATCATAGCTTATCTTCATCATGTGCTAAATGCAAAAAAAAATGAGAATAGATAATGCACCATCACTGAAGTTTAGAAACATGAATTAGTTTTCTTTTCCAAAATACATTTCCAAAAAAAAAGAAACAACTTTGTAGCTTTATAAAGTATTTCAAGTCTCTATTCCTGAGGCACCAATAAAACCAGAAACACTTTCTCCAAGCCCCCAGTGCAAAGGTGAGTACAGTGTCTGTTTGTGGGCTGGGAGAGACGCATAAAAGGAAGTAATGAGAGGGGAGGGACGAGAAAGGATGGATAGTTAATAGAATGATACTTAAATAATGTTATCATAGGTTTTATTTCCAGAAAACTCACCTAGAAGAACAGAATACCAATATATCCTTTGCTGTAAAACTTGACCAATTATGTTCCAGAACCAGATACTCTTGTAATTCAGATGATCGAATCCATTCACACATTAGTAATCAATTTTAATTAAATGCAGTGTGATAGATTGTAAGGAATAAATTTTGTTTTGATAAAAAAGGGAAAGAAAAGGTATGTCTAAAACAAAGGCTACTTCCTGGAAGGAAATTTAGAAGTGGGACAGAAGACTTTGGATTGAAGGACACTGTGGAAACAGGCAGCGAGGAAAGTAGAGGACAGAGGTAAAAGTGCAGGTCATAATAGAAGATTTTTAAAAAAAAGAGAGATTGAAAGCCCTGGCCGGGAAGCTCAGTTGCTTAGAGCATCATCTTGATACAATGATGCCAAGGTTGCAGGTTCGATCCCCAGTCAGGGCACATACAAGAATCAACCAAAGAATGTATAAATAAGTGAAACAACAAATTGATCTCTCTCTCCTCCTCTTCTCCCCTCCCCACAAAATAAATAAAAATTTATAAAGTAAAAAATAAAGAGATCAACCCTGTTTCTTCCCTATTTTCCCCTCACCCTTTACCTCCCATCTTTACTATGAATACAACATAAGCTTCTGATTACCAAAACCTTTCAAACACATGAAAATTTAATGTTTTTAACTGCCCATTTTAATTGCTCAATGCTCCCCTGGCAAATAAAGCATTCTTGGATAAAATAATAGAGATGTACACATATTTTTTAAATGTTTCATCTGTGAGAGAATCATAGTGATACTTTGCTTTTGCAACTAGAAACTGTACCATGCATAAGAAGTAGGCAGCCACTGTCTTTGTTCACTTACTAAGGAAGACACCAGTGCTGAGCTGGATACACTGGAGACCCTGTCCACAATGGCCTGCTTCATGTATCTTTCAATGGCCTGCAGCATTGTTCCCTAATGACATGCAGAGAAAAAAAGTTGTTGAAGCAAGACACTCATGTTAGATTACCACTTCAAAATAATTTACAAAAACCATCATATATGAGTTTCTGTGTAAATATTTAGAATGCATTAAAAAGGATCAGCATATAATAGAGTAATCATATCCCATCGAGCAGAACCCAGACGACTGAGTGGAAGCTTCAAGGAGGAACATTTATATGTAAGGAAGACAAATAACTGTTCAACAATGAAATAAACTGTCTCAAAATGGAGAGCTCCAATTTGAGGAATTCCATGAGTAGGGCTCAACCTATCAGGAACGTTGTTAAAGGAACTCCTACATGAGGATGAAAGCTGCTCTTGAAGTCTGAAGATACCTCTGTGTGGAGGGGATCTATTTTATATGGATCCCAGAGAGCCTTAGAAGTCAACTGTAATCTCTGACTACTTTAGATGCATAATTACATGTTTCATATATTACAACAATGAGCTCTCAATATGAAATCCTCTGAAAACAAAGTTCTTTTCAATTTAACTGGAAGAAAGCTTAGCACTGGAAAAGTGGAGGCCCATGAAGATACGTAAACAGATTGGTATCAATATTTAGATAAAGAGAATCTTATTGCTAGCACTAGCATCGTCAAGTCTTATGCCGCCAATTTAATGCTAAAAACAAAAAGTAACTACAATAAAACAGCTGAGTAGCAAAAAGCATTTCTATCACTCCTAGAATCCAGATATACCATTTGATCCTGCTCAACTTTTAAAACTTCAGAGGACTGCAAACATACACAAAAAATATACCCAAGCATGAGTATAGCTGAAATAGTATTTAATTTGTTTGCCAATGCCCAGCCTGCCCTTCATTTTAACCTTTCCTACTCACAGTTCCAAGGTGAACTTGGAACAGGTTACACCTGACTCGGACCCAGGTGTATACAAGCCACTGGGCTGGCTGATGGTTAACCAGGTTCTCTTTCTAAACTATCAGAACGACAAGGCTAGAGCCTGGTGAATGATGGATCATAACAGTAAATATCTGAGAAATCTTGCCAATGAATTCCTTAGAGCTGCCCTATTTATTGCTCTGGCATCTAGTTCTAAGTTTTACCTCAAATTCTGAGTTCTCTATATTGTGTAAGAAAGTTTCTTTTTAAAGCTGAATTCAAATGGGTTTTTGTTTCTTGTAAGCAATGTGCCCTGACTATAACAAGTCTATGAGAGCAAACAGAGAAAGAAACAGACTAATGTAAATAAGCAAAAGGAAAAACCAATCTGAAAGGAAAGAAGCCTGGAGCCACATGAGCCTTTCTGGTGGTCCTGTTTCTCTTACACAGATACACCTTTGAGACAGTGCAGGTTCCACTCCAGACCACGCAAGAATGCAAGTATCACAATAAAGTTACAAGAATTTTTTTGGTTTCCCAGAGTATATAAAAGTTCTGTTTACACTATACTGTAGACTATTAAGTGTGCAAGAATAGAATTATGGGGAGGAAACAAGATGGCAGCATAGGTAGCAGCTGCACCCGCCGCCTCCCGCAACCACATCAAAATGACAGCTAAAATGCAGAACCACCATCACTCTGAGCCTCCTGAGATCCAGCTGAACAGAAGCCCCGCAGCCAGGGAGCTGAAGAAGCACTGAGACTGGTAGGAGGGGCGGAGACGCGGGCGGATCGGGCTGAACGGCGGAGACACAGCCACTGGCCCACACCTGGTGCCACAGATTAAACCCGGAAGGGAATCTCGGCGGTGGGGGTTCTCCAGAGGAGGGAGGGGTCCCAGCCCCACAGCAGGCCCCCAGCCCAGGGCTCCAGGGCCGGGAAGAGACGTCCCCACAACTCCGGGCTGCGAAACCAGCGGGGACTGTGGCTGAGGGTCGCGAAGGGTGCGGGAGCCCCAGCAGCTCCTCTTAAAGGGCCTGCGCACGGACTCACTTGGACGCTCCCTCTGAGTCCAGCGCCGGGCAGCAGCTTGAAAGGAACCTGGGACACTTGGGGAGGAACTAACCTGCCTGAAGTCGGGGTGAGAGAAGGAGGGGCAGCTTTCTCCCAGGCAGAAGAAATGGTGGAGGCCACTGCTCCTTTGGCAAGTCCTCCCCACACAGCCGGGGGGCAGGCGCCATGTTTGAATCGCCAGCACCTGACTCACACCTTTGGCCCCGCCCCGTGATTCCCGGAGGCCCCGCCCCTCCCCACCTGCAGCTCATCCAGGCCGTTTCCAGGGGCTTTTCTAAGCAAGTGGCCTCTTGAGCCTCATGCTTAGGACTTTCCTAAAATCTCTCAAACAAGCAGCAGCTGCCCCATACAGCTTGATAAG